CTTTATTTATGGTACGGTACGGTCAATCAGTTTGGTGTCGCGTCAGTATCTGTAGAAATGTTTATTGCATCGATTAAACAGTTTTTTATTCGTTCATCATGGCGAGAAGTATGAACGTATTCCATGAATGTGCGTCTGACCCTCCTTTCCCTATTATCAATATGTAAAATTGCCAAAGTTTGCGGACATATATCTCCGGAACCAAGCGGTAAAAAAATCCGAAATTTTTCATACACACTCTAGGAACGTTAATCTTTCATTTGATATCATATTTTTCGAGTTATCTCGGTTTGACCTAAATGCAAGAACCACCTTAAGCTTAAAAAAAATAAAATGTGCCATCATTTGCGTTTGCAAACGCAAATATTAATATTTTAACGCATAATAATATGTGTAAATAATATTTCACGTGTAATAATATTACAACGAATGATATTGTTACGTGTAACAATATTTTTAACGTTTCACACGTAACATTTCGTGTAACATAGCAAACTTAAATATTTTTGTTTAGAACTTTGAGACGGTCAATTTTTATTTAAATAGTCTTATTTTGCACATATTAATGTAAAGAATAAGCTGTAAAAATTTGAAACAATTCTCACGTAAATGATTTTACGAAATAACTACCTTAAAATTTATCCCGAAAATCATGTAATTGTCGAAGAATTTTATGAGTTTTTTGAAATTTTACCGTACATTTTACTAGTAAAATGTAAAAAAACCTTTTATGAAGTTCTTCAAAATGCCATGTTGTCCCACGATTCGGTTTTCAGGATAAATTTGAAGAGGAAATTCTCTCCCCCGTGTAGGCTTAATAGATTTTTATGATAGATACGAAAAAATAATTATCATTACTATGCCGGAATTTTGATTATCATACAATTGCTTGATTCTCGCTGTGATTCGTACTTGACGATTCATTTTACATGTATAATTTCATGAGACGGCAAGAATATTGCATGTGACGTTTCGCACGCATTCTTGCATTCATTGTCAAGGGGCCTCTCTAATTTAAGTTGTAATTAGTGCCCGACGTGCGAAACAGACGTTTCTTGGTGCTGCGCGTGTCGTAACAAATTGAAACGCGCGTCGAAGCTCCGCTCGACAAAATACGCCATTGTATCGCGCGCAACGAGCGGAATATTTCTTTTCTCACCGTGTTGCGTTTACATTTTCACGAGGATTCTACAGTTTTGCAGCGCGGATCCGGAAGCACAAATCTGGAGATTAAAGCGCGAACAAAATAACGCGAACCGGCATCCGCCGCTCGGTCCGGCGGGTTTTAGAACGCTGTCTCTAGTACAATGTTCTAGTGTCGCACGAGCCGCTTGAAAATCTTTCCTCTCCTCGTTTTTTTTTTGTGTCGACGAAGAGACTATAGTATCGATAAATCTCGTGGCGAAAACACACCGCGTGGAAACAACGTCGTTACACTGGACACAACGATACGAGGAAAAAGTTCCATGTTAAATAAAGACCGGGCAGGCATATAAATTTTACAGATATCACGTAATGTGCTTTACATAGATTCCCATCTTTTTAAACTGCTTTTAATTTAATCGCGAGAGTTACACGGTCGTTTCTTCCGAGACAATCGCGACGTGTTTCTCGGAGCGTGAAAAAATTGCGTGCACGGTCGGTCCGCGGAGATGCTTAATCTCTCTATGGCGGTCAACAATGAGTATTTTTAAATAACATACTTGTAAGCAGTATTATTACCGTGCCGTAATCGCGCTGACTCTACGCCTTCCAAGTGCTATTTCATGTCCGCATTCGGTGCAATTTGCGATACGCGCAATTTACGATAAATAGCATCGCGCTACCGTAACTATCTTTTCTTTCGTAACAATTATTCATATTCATATTCATTAAATCGCGCTTCACGTTATCGCGTCGTGGTTTTTAAAAGTCGCACGTTCGTGCCGCAGGCTATTTACGAATTGCTCAGATAGACGTCCACTTTTGATGGCAAACTTTTCATTGTAAATCTTCAAACAAATTTTCAAGGGGGTAACCACTAGCTAAAATGTTGTCCCATCGATT